TAAATCAAATACAGTAAAATAGCATAAAAACAGACATTAAGACAATATCAGCAGGTAACAAACAGCTATTCCTGCATCATTGATAAAAAGCTATGTCAAACAAATAAGATTTCAGTTTGGACTTAAAGTTGGATATAGTTGAGGCAGTCCTAATATTAATCGGCAAGCTATTCCATAATCTTGGCGCAGCTGCTGCAAATGCCCGGTCACCTCTAAGTTTTAATTTTGTCCTTGGGACCACTAAGAGTCCCTGATTTGAAGATCTCAAAGATGGTTCAGGAAGATCTTTGAGGTCATCAAATCAGGGACTATTAAACGCTGGATTTTCGAAAGTATGTGAGATATTTAAAGTTCATGCATAGAGTCTTTAAAATAAGTCCAAGAGTTTTACACGCCGGTCAGATATTGTGGGGACATTTCCACGCCCCTAAACATTACGAAACGTGATTGGTTGCTTTACCTGTCAGTCATATGGCCTCTTGGACGGTCCCTGGCCATTCAAAGCGGCCAAGGTTCCCAGACCTTCTGCCGTCAGTCTGAGATGTTTCCTGCTCTTCCTGGTGAAATGAATGTCTCCTCACAAACACTTGCAAGAGTGCTGATATTTATTGTTACTGCACTGGAGTTTCACTGTATCATTTTGCATGTCTGTGTTCACTGTTGTTTTGGCATTTATGGAGCAAAAATAAACAAAATCGATGGCTTATTGCATCTAAAATGTCAGCTATTCGATATTAATGTCTTGTTTATAAATGTTAAGAGCAATATCACACCGTCATGCTGATTAGCACACTCTTGCATGTGTGATATTGCTCATTTAGAAATTTATGAAAAATAATAAAATAATGAAGTAACTATTTTTTTTACATTTATTTTTATACTTTTTAAATCATTTTATAATGTATGTAATATATATATATATATACGTATATATTTCAAAACATTTATGTTCTGCTTGAAATTAAAATTATTTTTTAAATGACTAATTTGAATCAGTTTTTATTGTTTATTTTCAGTTTTCATTTTTATTTTAATTGCAGTTTTATTAATTTTGTTAGCAGTAGTAGTTTATGTATATATCTATACATTACAGTATAGTATAGTAGTAGTCGTAGTAGCGTATACACACACACACACACACACATATATATATATATATATATATATATATAGGGTTTACTCAAGGGTCTCACCTCAGCCGTGGCATTGTGGGTGGAAGAGAGCGCTGGTCTTTCACTCTCTCACCTGCGACCTTTGGTTTACAAGTCCGACTCTCTAACCATTAGGCCACGACTGCCCCCATTTGTGTCCTCATAAACCATATAAACCTGTACACACACATAAATAAAGGTGCATTCGGCCACAGATGTGAAAATGAGAGGGGCTTCACGGTAACATCGTGTCACAGTCTCTAGAGGATCACGCATGCTGACCATCACAGAGACAAACAGAAAGCACAGAGAGCACTTTTAACACTAATATCAGTCGAGATCCCAAACATAATTCAACTGCTGCACAAAAAGAGAGACTAATAACAAATTCAGTTGACAGGAAAAAAAGTTATATTATTTTTTTAATCAAGTTGAATTAAAGAATGCTTTATTTTATTCGTGATTCATATCTCATTAAGCTAAATCATTAACACTGATTCCTGAGCACACAATAATTTTTTATCCAATTGTTATATCCTCAGAGAGTTTGACAGTAACATTAGCAACTGATGCTGAAGAATAGCTTGCAATGTTATATTTGTATGTAAGTCAGTAAACAGTTTCATTGTTGTGCCTCTGAATAATTAAAGGCAGACACTTAGAGAATCAGTGTCTTTCAGAAGTGGACTGGATTCAGCGCTCCAGACAGGACTGACAGCCGCGTTCAGCTGCTGTGTGGATCTAGCGTCTGCGCTCCAAACTGGGAAATGAGGAGACCAGAGGGGGACGAGAGAGATGAAAACTGTTATTTTAATAAACCTGGCCTACCTTTACTCCTCTGGTGCTATGTACACATAACCTTGTTTATCAAAGCGACTGTTTGAAGCGCTCGTCTATGTTTTTTTCTCTTTCATTTTTGCAATACCTGCAGCCTCGAGCGGCGCACTCATTCACTTTGTTGTTTGGCGTGTTTCCTTACTTTTTCCTCCCTCTTTCTCTCCCTCCCTCCTCTCTCTCCGTTCCTCTTGCTCTGTCTGTTTTTGTAGCGCAGGGTTGAATTTTGGGTTCAGGCTCAACATCTCTCGCACCTGTGCATGTGCAGTAAATACAGTTGTTAACATGTAATGACTGCAGGAGAGTCAGAGGTGTTGCAGGAGACTGAGGAGGTCATGACCTCTGACCCTGAGACCTCAACTCTGCAATATTACACACATGCACACCTACGTTTCTGTCAACTTTTAATTTTCTCTTTCTCAACGCAGTTCAGTTTAATTTGAACAAGCTTTATTAACATGATAAACTTATACAGCTAGACAGCAAGAAGATAACTGTGACATCTGCAACTAAAGATAAAAAGTGCAAGCATTAGTAATCACAATTCAGTGTGGAAATAAATTCAGTCACAAATAAGTACGTGCGTATAATGACGAACAAGCATTCAAACTTTAATAACTTTGATGTGAAGATATAAGTAAACCCTTTATAGGTTGAAGACTTCTTTATTTCTTTAACACATTATATAATAATGATTGCTTCAAAGCAGCTTCACAATAATGGACAGGAGAATAACAGTCAATGACAAATTCTGCTGTAAAGCAGCTCTAAAAAGACAACAGTATCGTTATTCAGCTCAATTCAGTTCGGTTTTGATTCATTTTAATAACTGTGTAAATCAATTATGAAATAAGTTCAATTCAGCTATAAGCAGCTTTAAAGAAGACAGTAATGTCCCTATTCAGCTCAATCCATTGTAGTTAATCATTTATTAATAATTAATCAATTAAGAGTGAATTTGATTCTGCTATAAAGGAGCTCTACAGAAGACAATAGTGTCTTCATTTAGCTTTAAGTTTTGTTCTCATCCAGTAGTGTCAGTTTTTTAGATTTTTTTTAAACACTGAATATCTTTTTGTTTGAGTCAACCGATGGCGTGTGTTTGGGGCGGGACTTTTTCTTTGTTTGACCAATGGAAGACGTTCAGAAAACAGTCATTTAACGTGTAAACTTAAAGGGGTCATATGATGCGATTTCAAGTTTTCCTTTCTCTTTGGAGTGTTACAAGCTGTTCGTGCATAAAGAAGATCTGTAAAGTTGCAAAGACTAAAGTCTCAAATCCAAAGAGATATTCTTTATAAAAGTTAAGAGTCAGTCACACCTACCTAAAACGCCTCGTTTAAACACGCCCCCACGTCTACCTCACTATGTGGGAAGATTTGCATAACACCGTCCAAATGTTCACGCAAAGAAAGAAGGCGTGGTTTCAGGAACAGCAGTAATGTTGATGCAGCATGTCAGGGAGACGCTGTGTTTCAGTGCGAAACCAAAAGCACTTGATTTGGCCTTCCGGAAGTAGATGCAATTAGGAATCATTGGTTAAGATTTATTTACAACAGAACAGCACAACCCAGATGTTCGAATTTGTGCAACGCATTTTATGGACGACAGTTTTTTGAACCTAGAAGAGTACAAGGCTGGCTGTGCACAAAGGCTATTTCTAAAAAAAAGGGTCAATTCCGACTTTGCTATGACAATCTGGCGCTTCTGAATCAGCGACTGTAAGTATGTTTTGTTATTAGTTTAAGTATTTGCTATTGACTGTTCAAATGCGGAGTTTTGAGCAGCGCAGAGTAAC